CTAGAGGCCTCCCGAGCGCCCACCCCCCCCTCCCCATTGGATGTTGTACGGCGCGGGACGCGCCTTCCGGGACGGGGGAGTAATGTCAGACTCTGCTCCTTGTTTTGTGTGTACTCCCCATGTGCCTTCTTTGCCCTTATTTGGTCCTTCCTGTTCCTGTCCCCAATTATTTCTATTAGTTCCAGGTGTTCCTTGTTATTAGTTATCCTCCTCACCTGTCTGCCCCTCGTTATCTGCTCTATTTGAGTTCTAGCCCGTTCTGTTCTCCCTTTTCCGGAATTGTATGTCTACCCTTGCTACGTGTGTTTTCCTTGTTCCCTGGATGTGATTAAAACCTATGTTTGAATTCCACTCCTCGTCTCCTCGCTCCTTCGTCTCCTTGCTCCTCACAGTAGCGAACCATGGCGATAGCTGGGTTTGTCCATATTTTACCCAGCGCTGGGTTAGATTTAACCCAGCATTTTTTAGAGTTTATCAAAGCTTGCATAAAATTGATGAATCAACAGCAGCACTATTTTTTTTTTATTATTAGTCACTCTTGTTTGGACACTTGCCCATAAATCTCCCCATAAAATAAATATGAGCAAGAACACTTAAAATGATAGCCACATTTTCTACATTAATTTAAGTTGAGCAGTGCAGCGCGATAATCTTAAATCTTGGTAAATCTTATTCACTGCATTGTTTTCAGTGAGTTTGCTGAGGCCATGGATTTTAGTGCTATTGTTAACCCCATGTGGAGTTCAACATTAAAGTAGTTGAAACTACTAACTAAACTAAATTTTTAGCTGTGTGGCAGTAATTCAATTATTTTCAGAACTACTACTTTTTTTCCCAACAAGCAGCAGTGTAACCTGTTAAAATTATACACCACGTGATTCACTTTCACTTTTCTTTTTGGAGTCTTTGTCTGTATATAGTCCTACTCCTTTTTCTTCTTCCCTTGGGAAAATAGCCACATGAGAACTAACATCATCACTTTTACACTGCATCTGTGCTGGCTGTTCACACAGATTGTCTGGGATTGATCCCGGGAATGTTACTAGGTCCTGATCCCAGTATCACATTTATCGGCATTCCAACTCCAAGTTCACATAGGAGGCACTTAGTAGAAAAGGAAGTCTCAGTGTGAACATCAGCTTAGCTACAGAAACCCAAAATGCTAAAATTTATCATTGATCTTTTGTTCATGATTTGAAATATAACATGACACGAGCAATGCCAAAGGCATGGGTTAAGTTCACACACACACACACACACACACACACACACACACACACACAGAAAACACAAACTGGTACATTGAATGCAATGTAAGTTGCTTTGAAAGTGTCAAAGTATTTGGACCAAAAGTGAATCGTCCATACCTGTAGTAAACCTCACTTCTCTGGACACAAGACGTAGCTCCACAATGGAAAACTGAGGCAATTCCAGTTTGTCCACACCTGTCACGGCATTGTCCCCTCCTTGCCAGAAGAATACGATATCATCTGTGGTGTACCCATCTGCGGAGATTGTAGACAGTACAATAAATGTTTAATAATGTATGTGTATTATACAACCATAGCACTGGACAATGACAGTTTTACATCTAGCAAACAGATTTCAGTGATGATTTCTAAAATGTAAATTGAACTACATGGCACAAACTACCAGAAGGCACAGAACAAATTTGTTTATTTCATTCATCAATGGTAACAAAAATGTGATTTGTGTTTTAGTGAGGTGGAAATTGGTCTGCATTACGTGTCGTTATCAGCACTGTTAATTGCACACATAAATGGTTCTGCTGTGTGCCATCTAGTTGGTCGCTGTGTTCAGTTTCATCACACATTTTAGAGTGTTTAATGTGCTTTCTGTATAACAAGCTGTGTCACAATGAGGAGGAGAAAATGGCAAGAGGTATACAAATGAAGTGTTTGCCAACATTTTGAAATAAAAACAAAATAAAATAAATATTAATAATAATTCTCTGTCTCTGCTTTTCCAACCACTAATATATACTATAATGTTGCAGCTTGGTGTGACACAATGAAAAGCATAAAAATTGAGAAAATTGTAAAACATTTTTACGCAAATTATGTAATTCAGACAGAGATTTCTATCTGCTAAGTGCAAAATTTAGGCATTGAATGAAACGATTCACATGCGAATGGCTTTATGAATGGTATACACAATGAGTAAGACAAATTAAACGATTTTGTGAATAATTTACACAAAATTAGGTCATTTATGTGAGAACTTTTTTTTGAAAAATGTATGTAACAAATAAGACGTAAGAAAAGTTTTATGATAGGTTTACGCAACTAATGCAACGATTTACAGAAGAATGTTTCGTGTTCAAACTATTTTTGCATTAATGAACCCTTTCTGCATTAACTGTGATTTATCAATGATTTACAAAGAAACTTTTTCTTGTGTTTCATGAATGCGGCCCACTGTGCAGTTAGTGACACCTAAAGCATTAATTTATTGGAATAGCAAACATTAGTGTTCCAAAAGTAAGGAAGTGTTGATACTAGCAAATCTGAAAAATCCCATGCCTCAGCAAGGCCGTAGCATCTGACCCATTGATCTGCAGTAAGCATGAAACAAAGTGCACGGTGTAATCATTCGAAACACAAATCTAGCTATTTGACTGGGCTCCTCTGATGTATCCATGATAGACAGGGCACGCCATCCTGGTACGACTGACTGATCGATAGAGCAGGGCACCTCATTGATAAACCGGCAAACACATTCAATCTTACCTATGTCTATCAATTGTGCCATGAGCCCTCAGTGTCAAACCCCTACAAGAACATTTATCACTCCTGACACCCAAAGACAAGAGTGGGCAGGACTGCGGATATGGGTGATTGCTCTAAATGGGCTTAATGATTACGTTTGCTTACATTAGGTATCTGTGGAGTGTGACAGAGATAAGAAGTAAAAGTGAAATTGATGAGCTGGATGAGTTCAAACTGCTGTTGTCCACGGTCACGGTTTCTTCAAGGTGATGTGGTTAGAACCTGAGTCAGAGTTGGCGTTTGTGCAGTGTTGTGAAGACGACTGATGAAGATTAGACTATCACGCCAGTGATGGGGATTCTGATTTCTTCTTCTCAAATTTGTTCTTTTGAATGATCCAGTTCAAATGAAAAATCGGTTCCCTTTCAGTCGGTCACTACGAGTCACGAGCGAAGTAGATTGGTCTATCGAAGCGATATCCCAATTCGTCGGTCACGACGTGACGTCTCCGTTCCCTCCTTCAGGGAATGAGGGTTACCATACGTAACCGAGACGTTCTTTGACATCATTGAGTGGCATCTGATTTCCTAGTTTGGCATATTATGCCCTCAAAATCATTCTCAACAGCTACTAAAGCTCACTGGATATGATGACGACGAAGTGTTTCACAGCTAGACATCTCCAGTTTGTAGTAACTTGCATAATTATTTGTTTCATTCATTGTCTAATTGCTTGAGAGGTACTTTTTTTAAAATCATTTTTTAATAATTTTTTTTTAATCATTGTGTGAGTAATATGTAACCATCTAATTCATAAACAGTAACTGTAATCTGATTATGAGCATTTTAAAATGAAATATACTTGAAGTATTACAAGTACTTCAATTTTGGAATCTGATTACATAATCCAGATTACATGTAATCAGTTACTACCTAACACTGGGTAGGAGGTGCTATTACACTCTAAAAAATGCTGGGTTCAAGTCCGCGTGAACTGGAAGTTGCTGCCGACTTTATTTCAGTGTAGTGACGTATTTCCAGCTGAAACGGAATATTGAATAGAGGGCGGGGTTTTATTTTTGCGCTCCTCCTCTCTGTCTCTCACTCATAGCAACCTAACGGTTGGAGGGGTGTGTTTAAGGATATTCTGCCCAAGCCGTCAAACTGACGTCATCAGAGAAGGAATGCCATTCCAGAGCGGAAGTAAATGTTCAGATTTTAATTAAAGATTACAGAAACAAACAATTTTTTACAGCGGATTAACTTGCACGGATTAATTGTTCACATCAAGACTAGCAATGTGCGCTAATAAAGTAAATAAAGTCAATTTTGATTTCATGCGGACTTTAACG